AAAACATTTAGATGTGGGCTGGCTACTAGCAATTAGTTACTAAATCAGTAAACAGGGGTCAAAAAATTGTTTCCAAGCGATTTGTTCCTCCCTTACGATCCTTTCAGACATAATTTTGCATTTATTATCTCAGCATACAGTACGGAAAAAACTTTGAATTGAAGCTGATTGGAAAATTACGTATGTGAACCGTCTGACCGACTTATTTTCAGTCAGTTCTGCGCTTTGACTCAAGCGAAAAGCAGAAAAGAATTTTCTGATTATAAGTTGGTCAGACTGCTTTGTCAGAAATTGCGAGGGAATTTTCCATCACAAAGCAGTTGAACAGTTGTGAAAAAACTATTTCCGAATAAATAGGCCACAATGACATCTGGCACTGAGGTCAGGCGTGAGGTCATTGTGCTTTACCTTAAGAAATCCTCTTTCTGCAAATGCTAGTTTGCTCCATCTTGAAGCCTTGAGACTAACGCTTGACGAAACATCTGTACTTTCTTTCCATATCCCGGCGAAAATGAATTTTTTGGTTCCCCCTGCTTTGCTTGAAATCGTATTTACTTTCCATGCAATTGAATGGGTAAATCTTGCAGTCGTTTGTTCATTCACGTCTTTTGCCAACGGTATTCTACGTAGAGATGACCAATGGCGACCCATTTATTGCCGATTCTTTCGTGTGCAAGTGAGTACCACGCGTGGTTAGCCACGAAGAATTCAAAAGAATCATTCATTTCATCAGAGATGCAAAATTCACGAATGCAGAACTTATATCTCAACGAAGTGCTTGTAAACATGAGACGTATAACCTATAGAAAAGACTATGAATAAAACTGCCATGGCTGAGTCAAATATGAGCTATTTTTATCGATGGTTTGCCATGTTCTTCCTGACCTAAGATCAGGCAATGGCTCTGCCATAGCTTCACAGTGGTTCTTACAGGTTATAAGATGAGGGTCGAAACGAAACAGTGCCTAGAGTGCAGAGGAGTGGTTGTTTTTTAACTCATATTTCTTCATCAGTTTTTCTCTGAATAACTTTCTCTGGAGTGGTGTCAATAAATCACCGCTGTCATATATGCTTAAAAATTTCGAAATATTGTACTGTGCTTTTTCACGACAGCTGGTACTTTCGTATGATATTATGCATGATGCAACCTATGATATGAACGGGAAGTTTTGTTTGGAAGGAATTCTGCAACTGGTGGTCATCTGTACTCTGAAACGTCTGCTTAGAAAGTAGTTTTAAATATGAAAGTCAGCAGTTCGTTCAGTTCTTTGTTTATGAGGCAATTCTTTTGCTTGGCGATATTAAATACATCTGCAGTTGTACATATGCAGTGTAAAAAAATAATTTACAACACCAATATGTCTCAATCCGGTTCTTTTCCCGGATATGCTACGTTTATGACGATGATAAAGGAGACAAATAAGCTAAATTTTGCAACCAGTTTATCAATAAGACGTAACATCATGAGCGAAACTTGTAGCTGTGAGATCCACATTATTTCCTCATGTTATTTCCTAACTACTTTCTTTCCAGCCATGGATCCATGCCTTTCGACATTTGATCGAGAAGCAAGTGGGTTCTGCCGTGACTTTAGTCATGGTTCAGTCCAACGTAAGAATAACCTGTGGAATAGCGCCTATGTAGAGATGCACCCAATTCGTGAGAAGCTTTTTGATTCAGATGCACAACACCGGCTACAGTTGTGTCTGATCATTTACGGACACATTATTTTTTTATAAGACGTTGTTGATCCTTCCAAAATTGGTCAGCAATTCGTTAACAGTCTAAGTTGATAGTTAAAGTGTCTGAGTTATGAATAAAATGGGTTTATTAAATGTGTGATTTCATAATGAATGGCTTACATCGATTTTTATGTAAGGAACTTCCGATATTTGCTTAAAACATGCAAATATTTCAGTAATACAAGACGAATATACAAGAAAATAAGAGTTGGTTACAAACAACAGCGTCTTGGAGTCTACTTCTGACCTCAGTCGATATGTGTGAAGTAAACTGAAGGATGGCAAAGGGCGAGAAAATAGCTGACTAAACATGACAACATAAGGTTGAGACATATGCTCATTTTGTAAACAGTAATTTTCGCCGTAGTTAGAGTTATATGCACAGTTCTGTATTGTGACTGGACGATGAGTTACATGAGAGATATATAAGGCGTTGGCGACAAACCGTTTGGGACAGATGAGTATGGGCGTCGAGACCGGAAAAATGCTGATGGTCTTTAATTATGAAGAGGCATCAGTCAACAATGTCAAGGAATGCTAATATTATGACGAATGCAAGGAAAACAGACAAAACATCTTCCAGCGGGGTCAACATGAACGCTTCATCTGAGGATCGAAATGACTCTCAAATGGCACTCGGCCGTTTTTCTCCATGACCTGGTGATCGAAATGACAAATGACGAAGCAAGAAATGGGTTCACATTCGCAGAGGGAAAATATTCTACTCTGAACCGCATTCAAGCAATTCCACAGCGTGCCCTAAATCTCTGAAGAAGGCAAAATGGACGAAGCTGGTACGAATGATGAAACGAGGTTGTAAGTGTGAACAAAAAAAGGTCGGTCTTCGGTGGCAAAATCCGGACGCGCCGTACGTCGGTAAATAACGAAACGTGGTGGTTGTAAACAACGCAAGGACAAAGATGAAAGTTGAACGATCGGAGAGAGCTGTCCGATACGAATTCCTCCAACCACCTCAGTAAGTTGTAAAGTGATTTGCATATGACAGTTTCGTAGTGAAGTTGGATTGATTTCGTTTGGAGCATTCTTAGGAAAATGACTGACCTTAATCGACAGTAACTCTGGATCGGCATTACATTCATTGTCAAAGGAGTTGTAGCTTCTGGCGAGAGGCTTTGAAATGCTGCACGATATACAGATGTGTCTGAGAGACATGCGGCCTGTAGTCACGTGGTTGTGAATGGCTGGTTATGCCAGAAGAACTTTAAACCGTGCAAATGGTCGAAAAATAGTTTTCGCTGGTTATCGAGAGAAACAGCTTGGGATGTCTTCATAAGACTTCACGACTTCATGGCTTTTGCCCATTGCTTCAGGTTGTATGGCTTCCTTTGAACGAACACCGCTCTTCTAACAGAGCAGACAGGCAGCAGAAACCGCAATCACTGGAAGCTTACTGCACTGACTTCAGATTAGCGTTTCGAGCAGCTTGATTCAATGCCAGTGCCATGACCACGTATGCTGATGTGCTGCATCCGCCCTGTTCTCTCAGGAATCATTTTTAAGATTGTTTTCACTTATCCCCCAACCGGATAATTTATCCCAGCCTTCAATGGGATCAAAGAGAAAGTCGCCGATCACAAACGGATAAATCAGCATTCCGCAAATGAGCCATGGAATGACTTCGTTTGTGAGGCGAACAGATGGCATAAAACTTCAGCGTCCTCTCCTCAGGAATCAATGTTACTGGCCTATAATTCTCTCCTATGTCTGAAGCCAAAGAGATTTGCTTACGGGTACGTGATTATCAGTCAGTTGACTGGTAGCACTGGTTCGTTGACTGAATGACTGAGGTCGGTGACAGGCCTTCAACTACATGATAGCTCAACTGCATCGCATCTGACCATGGCCCGTAACGGCACACTGATCGCTACTCGTAAAGTAGAGACGAAGTTGAATTATCGAACTTTGGGCTGATAGAAGAACGACTCGTTCATGACCAATTTTTCATACGCGTTGCACGGTCTCTTTGTCCCCTCTGGGGACGATTTAAACATACTACACTCAGCGATATTTGACAGCTCTAGTGCTACATGTGTCTGGCGTCATTTCATTTTCTTTGCTAGGGCAATCATCTGTCTGTCAGGTTTAATGATTTATTGGATGGTGCTCCCCATATGCTACCGAATAAACATCAAAAATATGCTTTCATATGCCGCACTGGGTTAATAAATGAATTACCTTCCTAAGCTAAATTTCGCGTCCCTATAGTTATCGCACTGTCAATCTCTTTCGTTTCGCGTTTTTTTCTTGACTTTCTCATAATTAATTAATTAATTAATAATTGAAGGTTTGAACAAATATTCCTTTAATTCAGTGATAGACAAATATTTATAATCTAAATTAGAAGACCGTTCAATTAATTCTTTCGGCAGTGAATGCGTGTGAAT